TAGCTTCACAGTTCTGCATCAAACTGGGTTTCTTGTTTGGGCTCTCTGCTTTTCCAACATAAGTAAGGTATTCATGAAAGCAGTTTTTTTCACAGTGATCTCAGTGTGAAAGGAGATCTATAAAGAAAAAGAAAACCTAGACGGTCGTCTAAACACTCTGAGATATTTTGCTCCATTATCTATTGTATATATTAGGAAGCAAGTATCTGGGGAACAATGTCTGTTTCTTAAAGGTAGATGTGTTAAAGAATCAGCATTTGCCGTTTAGCATGTAGCAATTACCAACAACACTCACCACCATGCTGGTCATAAGCTTGTGCAAGTAGTACCTTCATGGTGGGGGGGAAAAAAAAGTTGTACTGTATATATTAGTAATGCTTATATATTTTTTAAATTCTCATTTAAGCAAAGATATTCTTTTTCCTTGCTGTCAGAATGGATGATTTATCTCTATTTTCTCTGAACATTACACAAGTAATAAAATTAATTGTGAATGGCGTGATTAAGCCATGAAAATGTGCTGTAGGTAATTTTCATGATATTCAAATAATGCAAATCTGTTCATTGACAGAACACGTTTCCACTTTGGAACTCTACACCCAAATTTCAACGGTAGAGTTTGATTCCATAGACAGAGTTGGCAGAGATGTCGGTGACTAACCCACCGGCTGCAAACTCCAGGGCCAAATTAATAATGTAATTGAATGAGGCTGGACCAGGTGCATGTTAAAACGGGCATAACCTTCACTTCCACACACACAAAGAGGCCACCCGCTGTTGTCAAATCTTCCAATTTGCAAAGCAAATAAGTACAGGTTTTATGTGAAATATCCTAGTTTTTAAATCTTGAATCATGTATTCCATTGTTGCCTACTGTGTTCCAGGCACTGTCTTAGGTACGTCAGTGGGAATGTGACAGGGAGCACAACCAACGAAATTCCACACCTTCCTGGAACCTATATTCTCAGCACCAGTCTGAGGTTTGAGACCTGACTCAACCCCCGACCCACTGAAAATCGCCTCTGCTGTCTGGGCAGGTGAGGTTCCAGGACCTACGTATGTACTTCCAGGGGAAGGACACCTGCTGCTCCATGTGCAACCCAGTACACTGCCCAGGTGCAAAACTACCCAGAAAGGTCTGTGGGAGCCCAGGCCTGCCTCCCCGCCCCTCTAGACTAGCTCCTCCAAGACAGGAAGTGTATCCTTTTTTACTTATTTCTCAATTTCCACCCTCAAGCAGAGTTCTTGGCCAGACATAGGCACTTCATAACTATTTCTCAGCCTAAACTTGTAATTTCCCTGTGGCTACCCAACAGAATTCTTCTTCTTTTGCATAACAGCCTTTAAATATTTGTGATGTCCTCACATACCAAGACTCCAGAAATGGGTTTACCAGATTTTTCTTTTAGGCACCTGAACAGATAGCAAGAGGCACTCTACATTAGGCCCTGGGCTCAAATTCAGCCCCACCATTACTGGCTACCTAACACTGAGTTATTTACCTGCTCTGGGCCTCCGTTTCCTCATCTGTAAAATGGGAAGATTTTCGATTTACCTGTAGGTTATTCATGAGAATAAAATGAGTTTAATACTTACAAAATGCTTAGAACTGTGCATAGCTCAAAGCAGCCACTCAATGGATGTTAACTACTACTACTACTGCAGTCCAAAAAATGTTACATTATGTTCCATTTTTGGCCCATGCTAGGCTTTTTCACATGACCTACCTTTAAGTCAATTCTCTCCATTTATGCTTATGCAGCAGGTCATTCTGAATTTCAGTGTAACTCATTATATATACATTTATCTCTTTTCAATTTCATGATCCTGATTTCAGGCCCAACTACCTGTCCTTTTCAGTCCAAAATCTGTGATTTAACAGGTGAGTGATGTGTCGTCTGCATTGGAAAATATTCAGATTACCCCTTTGGTTTCTTATAGTGTTCAAGGCTCATGATCAAACAATCTTTGTTAACTGAATGACTGTCTTGCAGAAGCAGAGTTTACTTTAAAATACAAACCTCAAATCGTAGTTTGGTTCATTAGATGATCTCATCTCTAAATGTGGGTAGGTCAAGAAGGAGGATGGGAATGGGAAGGTGACAAAAGAGGAAGGACCTGGGAGGTAGAAGTCAATAATGGTGGGGAAAGAAATAGCAAAAAGGAACCTCCCTGAATAAGGTTTTGAAAATCAGGGCTGTCATCACAAGCCTTATGGCTTCATTCACTCATTCGATATTTTTCAGAACCTATTATATGCAAGGCAATGTGCTAGAAGAAATAGGAGTACATTCATACATAAGATAGTCTCTGCCCTCAGAGTTAGGTAAAGGAGACATAGCTAAGTAGCTGTAGTGCAATGTAACAGTCTGTGTGGGTTAATGCAAACCCACTGCCATTAGAATTCAGGGGCAGTTGTGGTCCCTTTTGCTGTCCTTGCAGATTGTATAACTGGTCCAATTCTCTGCCTCTCCTCATATCCATGCCTTTTGTCATGGACTCTCGCATTTCCTTTCCACATGGGCTTTTGCATTTCACCTTTGACCTTGGGCTTGTCCTGTGACTTGCTTTAGGCAAAACGTGAGGCAGAAATTAAGGTGTGCCAGTTTCAAACTTAGGCCTAAAGAGACCTCTGTGTTTCATTTGTGTCTCTATTATGAACATAAGAACATGCCCAGTACCAAGATGCAGAGGCAATAGACCCGTCAGTTCCACAATTGCCCAAGATCTAATCCTACAATAAACCCCTTATTCTGCATCATTCAGAGCAATTCTGCTTTTCCATCAAACTCTAACACAGGAACTGGATAGCTGGAAGTGGCCTGCAGGCATAACAAAAATCTCAAACACATTGCATTGGTTGTGGGAACAAGTGGCATATAAATGCTGGCAGGACTTTGAGGAGATTATGAAAACTTAAAGGGCCTGGATGAGGGTGTTAACAGAAGCCTAAAGACCTTCCAAATAGGCTGTCAAGAAGGGATTACAGGAGAGGAATTACTGGAAGCTGAGACTCTGAAGATGTAGTCAAGTTTAGCAAAACTGTCACCTGTGGTAACATAGGAAATAGGAAACGTACCTAAGGAACTTGACTGGCTAAGATTTCTGGGCAGGGTTGAGGGTGCTGTCTAAAATGAAAGAAGTGAGGCAAAAAAAAAAAAATCATTCCAAGTGATTTGGAGAAAATATAAAGGTCCAAACAGTCTTTTAAACCTGCAAAAGGTTCTCATATTCAGAAATGGCTTCCAGCAAAGATCAGATCCCGAGTGGGGTGACGGCTTTTTGTTCAGGACCTCTGAAGGATGGCAGGACAGCTCAGACACACAATGACCCTCTACGTGTCCTGGGAATAACCACGTAGACCTGCCAAAGCTTCACAGGGAACCCAAAATAAAAAGGGGACTGCTTCCAGGAGACATGGGCGGCTTTTGTGAAATGGATTTCAATTGATACTTGAGAACTCCACAGATTTAAAAAATACACCAGTTGGGACAGGGGCAGTATAAACAGGCCTTGGGGTCCTCGGTTTCTATGG